TTATATCAAGTGCAGTAGTAAAAAGCATTTTTTCTGCCTTTTTGACACACAAAGTGAGTTTGCACAGTATATTTTGCAAACCTTATGCGTGCTATGACTGTATAATGCTTCATATGTTTCTCAGCTATGTCGTCTGAGTACAGCAATACCCCTATATGAACCTTTGCCAGGTTTATGTGGACATGGAAGGGGCACATTTGAGACACAATCATTCCAGTTTTTTTCAAACTTTGAATCTTTACGCTGTGTCCATGTCCCATTTTAGAGTATTTTAGCAGGCTATATAAAGGCATACCATTTCCTAAAGAAGACATCCCATGGTATTTCAAAAGGCATTTTGGAGTAGTTTAGCTAGTTGGCTATTCAAACTTCCCCACAAACACATACTATTTATTACCTGGGGTAATTCAAAAGGCATATTTTGAACCTTAGCGTGGGATAATTTTTTCTCCAGTTTGTTCCAGGTGTAGTAGTAATGAGCATTTTTAAATGTATTTTTTTAATTTTTGAAACTTTTTACTTTTTAATCAATTTTTTAAACTTTCCTACACTTTCTTAAAACTTTTTTTACACATTTAACATTTTTATAAACTTTTTTTTTTACCGTTAACCCCTAACTAGCAGTAGCAGCACTAACTGTAAATTCCCCAATTTCCCATAACTCCCACCCACCCCAGCTAGCAAAATATATCATTTTAAAATATTTAAATTAATTAATTAAATAAATTGAACCCCTCAGGGTTAAAAAAATAAATAAAAGTTTACCCTTCGGGGTTAAAAAAAATCAGATCACAGTATAATACTGTGATCTGTATTTTGATCACTGTAGGTATTGATCAACTGGCAGGGAAGGGGTTAATTTTTATTAGGACTGGGTAAAGGGGGGTGGGATTTTTTTACTTTTTAAAAAAGTTATTAAAACTTTTTTTAATGTTAACCCATAGCTAGCCTATCACCAAATTGCCCAATTTCCCACTAACTTCCACCCACCCCAGCTAGCTAAATATATAATTTTAATATATTTAAATTAATTAATAAAATTCAATTAACCCCTGAGGGTTACAAAAAATAAAAGTTGACCCTCAGGGGTTAAAAAAAAATCAGATCACAGTAAAATGCAGTCCGTGACAATTGATCACTGTAGTCAGTGAACAATTGGCAGGGAAGGGGTTACTTTTATTAAAGCAGAGGAAAGGTGAGGTGGGGGGGATTTTACTTTAACTTTATTTTTCTACACAGGGAGAAGATCAGCAGTGATCCGTCTCCCTGCACTTCACACTGACCGCGGAAGAGACCGCGGAAGAGAAGGGAGGCGGATCGTGAGTCCCTGCAGCACATGTGCTCACTCTGACAGCCTGTTACAGAGGCAGACCGGAGGAGTGTCAACATGATCTGGGGTTAACTTTACCGCATGACAGACCCGGTCTGTCATCCGGCGTTAACTGCTTCCCCGCCATCTGGCGGAAGGGGTTAATAAGGTGCATCGGGTGTATTGTTACTTATAATCATACATTATAGAAGTTAAGTATTGTTATAAGTGAAAAATCTTTTATAATTAAGTGCATTTATAAAACTCTGTTTTCAAAGGTCTTAATGTAAGGTTCATTCCACAAACATACATTCAAGAAGACACTTGTTAAGGACTAAATTGTTTCTTAGTAACTTATGGTATTCTTATGGTCCTAGTAGGGGTAGAACTATTTTTATGGTGTTCTTTAGTTGTTTTCCTGTTAACCCAGGGTGACCTAATTTCATTATATGTGACAATTTGATCTTGTGATGCATAATACCCTTGTTCCATACTAGATTGGTATTCAATTTGGTTAGAAATTATAGCTTCAGTAAGGATTTTTTTACATTTTAGATATTTGTCTTTTCCCCGCTGCACTTTTGATCAGGTTTGAGAATTTGTGTGCGATTAATATTTGATTCTTACCGAGATAGATTTTATTTATTTTTTTCATTTTTTTTATGCTCAGATATTGGGACTACTTTACGCCATTATCAGGTAGCATTATCAAGGTCCCATATAATCATATGATTTTTAGTACACCAAGAAAGGGGGAGGAAGAAAAAAAAAAAGGAGAAGAGAAAAAGAGAAGAGAAAAGGAAAAGAAAGAGAAAAAAAGAGGGAAAGTTCTGCCAATGCTTCTAACATTAGTGGTCTATTGACACATCTTCAGTATGTCTTAAAGTAATCTTGCTATGATGTTTCTGCCCCAAATGATAGCCAAAGTTCCAATGTCCTAACATAGTGGTCTCTCTTCCCCTGAATGGCCCAGTGCACTTCTTCAAGTTCCCTCAAAGCTTCCACTCTAAGAATCCATTGTTCTTTAGTCAGGATAATAGGTTTAAGCCAATACAACGGGATCAAAGCAGTTTTTGACTCTTAAGTAAGTAAATATTTCTCTGTGGGGTAAGCCATAGTTCAATTGAAGAGTGGAAAATTTTATAATTTCCTCTTGGCCCCACATATCTGATATGTATGAAATACCACACTTTATCCAATTTACTAGATTTAAATCCTCAATCTCATGGGAAAGCACTTCGATTGGAGAATCAAGAGGAATATCATCAACAATTTTAATTCTTTTTTTTTACTTTTTAATCATCTGAATAGCATTCTGTATTATTGGATTTTTATAATTAGATCAATTTTTTTTGTTAGATTGGTCCATATCAGTTTGGATAAGTTATAAGGTGAAAGATCTTGAGTTTCCATTTTATACCTGGAAGAAGATAAGGCATGGGGATTTGCCCATTGAAGAGCGTGAGATAGCATAGTTATATTGTGTAGTTTAGACAGATCTAGGTAGTTTAACAACCCCCCCCCCCGTGTAATTTCCCTTTTTAAAATTGTTTGTGAAATCCTATGTTTTTTATCCCTCCAGATGTATGAGGAGAAGTGGGTTTGGATTTGCTGAATAATTTTAGGGGGCTTTTAAAGAGATTAATTTGAACAAAGAGTATTTTCAGAATAAAATAGGCATTCACTACATTGATTTGACCTAGCCATGTAGTTTCTAAGTTTTTTTCACGAATTATATTTTTGTTTTATATCCCTCAGAAGATCTTTATAGTTAATTCAATAATATTAGTAAGATAAAATGCTATCTTAATTCCTAGATAGTCAATCCCAGTTCTGGTATTGTAAAAATGTTCTGGAAATTCTGGAAAAAGACCCCACTGAGATATTTATCAAAGAACTTAAAGTTCTCCTTAAAAAAGGACTAGATAACAAAATCCCGTCCCAAGATGAATTTCATTTTTTGTTAAATCCACATTGTAAAACAGTTTGCTTTTATTTTTTGACAAAGATATATTATATTTATATAATATATAATTCTATATATCCTTTTTATTTATTTTTTACACAATTATTTTCTTTTTGTTTCATATGTATTTTTATTTTTACTTTTTTATTAATTTGTTTTAAATTTACATTCTTATTTTTACTCATTATATTTGTTTTTAAATATTTTATATATTTTTTATATATTCATATATATATCTATTCTTTTTTCTATTTTTGATAATACTGTCTCAACGTTTAATTTAAAATTTTTCTCTTTTATTATATTTATTTTACAATCATTTTTTATATTTTTTTTCATCAATCTGCTATTATTCTTTGCCTTTCTATATGATTGTGTATTATGTTCATGTTTTCCCCTATGTTTTTATCCTCTGAGTCCGTCCTACTACACCAATATTTTTTTGTCTAATCCGTTACCCAGATATCCTCTGTTACCCAGATATCCAACATGAAACGAACGTTACAACAAATGACGCCATCCACACAGACGCGACACTTAATACCAGAAAGTCGTCACCTGCGATCCACGTTGAAACACATGCCGGCCCAGCTGCCGATCATCATTCTCAATACCTACTGGTATATAAGAAGAGTCTCTTAAAACACCTTCATCGATCCCTGAAGAAGTCCCAACGGAGGAAACGCGTAGGACCTTATTCTTTTGTAATATTAGAATTTTGTTTGATATTCTAGGTCTCCGCCCCATCCATATAAAATCAGAGATTTGTTTTTAATATTTCTGGAGTATACTTGAATTAACACTGAGGGGGATGGATCTTAACAGATAAAGTATTTTTTGTACTATATAGGCTTTTATTAGATTTATTCTTCCTAGTCACAATATTTCTTTTTTTTTTTTTTTTGTAAATATATTTTTATTGGGTATTTTCAATATTTCAGTTTCGATCAAGTCATAGGAAAACTTCGTCAAGGAAATGCAGGTCCCATTAATTTCACTTAGTAATTATCGCGTTGGAATAAACTAAAAAAAAAAAAGAAAATGCTGATCAAGTAGACATACATAGGTGACATGCAGGTCACATTTTAACGCAAGTATCATTTACGTGTTGGACTCGCAGGTCCTATGAGATATAAACAGTGGGTAGTACTTTCACATGGTATATTAAATGACAGTGTGGACACGCAGGTCTCATTTCACCTAGGGTTAATGACCGTGGCAGGAGGTAATGGTCACTTTCGTGTTTTGTTGTCATTTGCAGGTCTCTCCATGGTACAATTAGCTACTATATGGTGGGCCCGCTGGTCCCCGAGCCCTTTAGACGTGCTTGTACTACCCTCCAGTGTTTTGTGTAGTCGTCTGTTGCGTTAGCGTTTACATGTTGGACTCGCAGGTCCCAGAGCTCTTTTAGTGTTGGGCATATGATATTTTCAATGTGTTGTGGGTGGGGTGGAGGGGAGAGAGGGGGGGAGGGTATTGAAGGGTAGGGGGAGAGGTTTGGGGTGCACAGTACTAGTCACGATTGTCAGGTCCGTCAGGCATGGTCTAGTTGAGTGGTAGGGTCTGTCGCTGTAGTGGGGATGTCTATTCCGGTGTCGGGTAATAGGGCTTCATCTCGTCCTCCATTTGGGCCCAGTATTTGACGGTTGTAATGTCTGCCCCAGTCACGGAGTTTGTCTGTGAACCTGGCTCCCGCTGTTGTCAGAATCCAGTGTGTCCACGTGTCAAGATACTGTTGTGTTCTGTCCGTAGATTTCATGTGTATGTCTTCTGTCCCCCTTAGGGCCTCCATTTGTGTGAACCACTTGTCTGGTGTAGGTGTGTCCTTGCTCTTCCAGTGTTGTGTAATGAGCTGCTTTGCTACATTAAGTATCCTAATAGTAATTGATCTTTTGTATCTATTACTTGGTGTGGTAGTGTGATGGAGGAGCATTGCAGCAGGGTCAAAGGGGGGTGGCTGGTCCGTGAATATCTTTAGCATCTAATGTATCCCCTGCCAGAAGGGTTGTATCTCTGCGCACTCCCACCAAATGTGTAGGAACGTCCCCGGCCCTACCCCACATCTCCAGCACTTTGCTGAGTGGTCTGGGTATATTTTGTGTAGGATGTCTGGGGTGCGGTACCAGAGCGTGAGTAGTTTCTATGCTGTTTCTTGGCGTTTGCTGAATACCGCGCAGTGTTGTTTTAACGAGCACATCTTATCCCATTCCCCTTCGCTAAAGCTGCGGTTTAGTGCCATTTCCCAGTTTCCTTTGTACATGGGCGCCTCCGTTGGGATTTGCGTCTGTAGTGAGGTGTATAGGGTGTATACTCCGTGGGGGAGGGGTTCTGGATCAAGACACAGTTGTTCAAACCCCGCGTTTTAGTGATTGGCCCTGGGGGAGGGTCTTAAGGCTAGTCACAATATTTCTAATCCTTTCCCTTTGATCAACAACTCTTTGATTAATTTCAGCTGATCTGTATGATTTTGTTCAAGTAAGGCCTTAAAATCGAAGCTCAATTTAATGCCCAAATAATCTATGAACGTGTTGTTCCAATTAAAATTATGTAGATTTTTTAACTTGTCCATCTCTCCCTTGTGTACCTAAGCTGTCAAAGTCTGTGTTTTATGTAAATTTATTTTATAATTAGAATATTTACTATATTGGTCAATGAGTCTTAAATCAGCAGGAATCGAGACTAGTGGATCCGTGAGGGAGAGGAGCACATCGTCCGCAAAAAGTGTTATCTTGTGTTCGACAGGGCCAGCCTGGACTCCCCTGACCTGTTTTGATTTCCTCATCATTTTAGCCAATGGTTCAATTGTTAGTATATACAATAGAGGTGCCAACGGGCACCTCTGTCTAGTACCATTACGAATGGAAAAGCTGTGTGATACAAAATTAGGGCCAATAACCTTTGAAGTGGGATCTGCATATAAATTCATTATATTATGTTGTTTTTTTCAAGAACCAAATCAAGGAAATCCCAGCTGAACCTGTCAAAAGCCTTCTCAGCATCCAAGGCTAACAATATTGAACCAGTTTGTTGTGAGTTTAGTCTGTGTAGAAGATTGATTATGCAGAAAGTCTTGATAGTAAGGTATGTCCTTTTGCTGATGATACTAAGATATGTAACAGGGTTGATGTTCCAGGAGGGATAAGCCAAATGACAAATGATTTAGGTAAACTAGAAAAATGGTCAGAATTGTGGCAACTGACATTTTATGTGGATAAGTGCAAGTTAATGCATCTTGGACGTAAAAACCCAAGGGCAGAGTACAGAATATTTGATAGAGTTCTAACCTCAACATATGAGAAAAGGGATTTAGGGGTGATTATTTCTGATGACTTAAACGTAGGCAGACAATGTAATAGAGCAGCAGGAAATGCTAGCAGAATGCTTGGTTGTATAGGGAGAGGTATTAGCAGTAGAAAGAGGGAAGTGCTCATGCCATTGTACAGAACACTGGTGAGACCTCACTTGGAGTATTGTACACAGTACTGGAGACCGTATCTTCAGAAGGATATTGATACCTTAGAGAGGGTTCAGAGAAGGGCTACTAAACTGGTTCATGGATTGCGGGATAAAACTTACCAGGAAAGGTTAAAGGATCTAAACATGTATAGCTTGGAGGAAAGACGAGACAGGGGGGATATGATAGAAACATTTAAATATATAAAGGGAATCAACACAGTAAAGGAGGAGACTATATTTAAAAGAAGAAAAACTACCACAACAAGAGGACATAGTCTTAAATTAGAGGGACAAAGGTTTAAAAATAATATCAGGAAGTATTACTTTACTGAGAGGGTAGTGGATGCATGGAATAGCCTTCCAGCTGAAGTGGTAGAGGTTAACACAGTAAAGAAGTTTAAGCATGTGTGGGATAGGCATAAGGCTATCCTAACTATAAGATAAGACTAGGGACTAATGAAAGTATTTAGAAAATTGGGCAGACTAGATGGGCCGAATGGTTCTTATCTGCCGTCACATTCTATGTTTCTAAGTATTTATGAGGGAAATGGGCCTCTAATTTGAAGTTATTGAAGGGTCTATACCTGGTTTTAATATTGGGATTATTGAGGCTTGCAACATCTCACGTGGTATTTTATTACTAGATATTTCAATAAAAGTTTTCAATATTAGAGGAGCTACTAGAGTATGTTTTCTCGGCTATTATACTTCTAATCTGTGTAATCTTAATAATTCGATTAGAGTTTATCTGTATTTTATTTAACCTTTCCAGGTTTGCAAGCTCAATCTGGTATTCTGAAAGGTCCTTCTCTCTGTTCTTTTTTAATCTTGATCCCAATTTTATAAATATTCCTCGCGCAAAACACTTAAATGTGCACCACAATGTAGAAAAAGGACATACCCCATCATCATTAAATGATAGAAATTCTTCCATCTCAAGAGATATTTGATTTGAATTTGAAGTAGAATTTAATAAACTCTCATTCAAACTCCAGTTAGTGTTAGTCTTAAATTCCTGGATGTTATTGAATTCTAAAAATACCAGAGCATGGTCAGAACAAATGATTGAACCTATAGTGGATTTTACTACTTGATTCAAAAGTTTTGATTTCTTGGGCATGGAGAGTAACATCACTTAATCATATTGTTATACTATACAAACAGAAAGAAAAAAAAAGTCTAGAAATATTAAAATTTTCAGTGTCATCTATTTATTTTCTAATCGTTTAATTCTTTTGTATTTTCCCCTTATTACCTACCCTCTAACTAGTGAATTATTTTAGATGTTAAGTGATCCTTATCAAATTTGATATATATAGATATATATATTTGTAATGTGTATACTTAGACCCCCTAAATACAAGAGCTCTCTTACAATCATATATTTGTGTTAATTTATTTTTCTGATTTTCATGTTGTCTTCAGATCTAAGATCCAAAGGGTTGTGCTTCTCTGTAATTTTATTTAATACATTCTTCTGTGTTGATGCAAACCTATTTCCTTTCTTCTTTATCTTTACATCCCAAGTGAATTATTATTTAAATCTTATAACTTACATTGTTTCAGTGTCTATATTTATGTGTAATTTTGATATGAGAGAGAGCAAAAAAATAAATAAAAAAAATAATAATATATCATAAAGCTGATACACCGCCTTAATAAAAGAATTTAAGTCAATATATTGTTTATTCTTTTTTTCTTTCTTTCTCCTTCTATTTAACTATTTTGTTTTTTAATAATTTTTCTCAGGAGAGGTTTCACGCTTTGATTTTTTTTGTTCAAGAGCTTCAGGTGACTTTAGAATAGTTGTAGGATAATATAATTGCAGTTGGGAAGGACCATTTATATCTGATGTCGTTTTTCCTCAAAATTATGGTCATATCTTTAACCCCTTAAGGACACATGCCATGTGTGACATGTCATGTTTCCCTTTTATTCCAGAAGTTTGGTCCTTAAGGGGTTAAATTTGCTTCTTGCTTGTCTTGTATTTGACAATATATCTGAAAATATTTGAAGTTGCTTGAATTACTCTTATTCTGGTTTTTTCGTATCCTGTTGCTTGCATGAACAGTTTCTTAATAAAGAAGGAAGAAAATCTAACAATGACGTCTCTTGGAATAGAAGGAGCTGTTTGTTTAGGTTTGGCGATTCTGTGAAAACGATCAAATGGTTGTACACCTAAAGTTTCTGTAGGGATAGATGAAAGAATGAATTCGTATAAGAATGTTTCAAGTTGATCTTGTTTGATAGATTCAGGAATTCCTCTTATCCTAATATTTTTCCTTCTTGATCTATCCTCCATATCGGTTACTTTATTCTCCAGGGAATTGATTCTATTCTCTAAGTGTGAAGAAACTACACCTTTTGTTTTGTTAACTTTGATTTTCCTCGTGCGGTAGATAGAACTACCAAACACTGACCACCCCCGGGCTCATTAACTACAGAGCCAACTGCAGATTAAGGGCTCTCCCTGTGTGGCCAAACGCCACGTGTTGGAGAAAATGGTGGCCATCTTGTTGCATGAAAAGAGGCAGCGGGACTTGGTCATTGAGTGTCTGGAACTAAAATCGGACACCCGACTTCCTGAACGCCTGTCAACTTTGTGAACACCTGCTTCTTTTCACCGACCAGCCAGGAGAGCGCCATACGGTAGGTTTGTTCCCATGAATTAGGGGAACAAACGCTACCAATGAGCCAGGGGAACAGTTTGTGGATTTGTTCGGTTTTAGAACTCCCCAAAATAGACCGACTGCTACCTCAAACTGTGGAACTGTTTTGGGCTTGTGTGTGCGGTCGGTCAAATTATGACTTCCATGGAAATCCCGAACCAAACTGGGTGATTTTTGGATTGGTCCCCCAGATTGTGGCTATCAGGGGATGTGACTGTTGTGGGCTTTCCATGTGTTTCAGGGGTACTTTCGGGGTGTTATTAAAATGTATGTTTTCTGTGCCTGGAGATAATGGAGTTTAGTACAGTTCCTGACTCAATTATCTCACAGGCTGTAATGCTACAAGGGGTTTTAGAATTGGAACTCAACTGCAGCTTGTAGAACTCCTTAATTACAATGGCAAGAAAGCGGAGAATTATTAAGGATACTGTAGCTTTAAAGCAAAGTGGTGGATGCAGGAAGTTAGTGAAGAAAGCGAAGTCTTAATGAATGCAATAATATTTTAGTAACTGAGAATTATAGCATGCAAATAACAATGCATTAGGAAGTAACTGCAGGTTATATCAAGCAAGAAACAGTTCATTAGTAATTAAATCTTCAGAGGTGGAAGTGAATAGTATACTTAAGATTGATGGGAGTTGTCCTCCGTGGGAATAGCATGTAGGTAACAATTCATTAGGAAGTAACTGAAGATTATAGCAAGCAAGAAACAGTTCATTAGTAAGTAAGTCTTCAGAGATCAGAGTAATTAGTATACTTAAGATTGATGGGAGTTGTCCTCCATGGGAATGTATAGCTTGAATCCAAGGGATGAATGATATACACAGTCCGGTTTTCAGGAGACTCCAAT